AAATTAGAAATTGGAACGAAGTCAGGATTCTGGTTTCGAAACCAAGCTCCAAGCCAAGATAGTAGGCGTGAAGCCGAAGGTTAAGCCGAAGCTGACAGTACCTAAGTTTGTATCTGTGAAACAGAAGCCTACGCCAGTGGCTCCTTATAATTTATAAAATAAACCCAAGCTTAAAGCAACGGATTTTTAACTTTTACCCACGAAGCCGGAGTCGAAGCCAGGGGCTTTTGAATTTAGGAAACGTGAAGCTAAAGCCGAACCCACAGCCGTAGCCAAATTCAGCGTGCAACGTTATTTTGCGAATACAAATAAACTCGCCGTTTGTAAAAACTGCACGGGATCGCAAAGCATCAATGATTTCATCACGAATCTGCGATGCAATTGAGACGGAGTGTAAACATTGCGGATGGAACCTTCTCAGGTTGTCGTTCTCGTCCTATGTTCTAATATGCAGGTACGTAAAGTTTCGGACAACTAAGTGTCCGGCCCTCGTAAAGCTTTGGTTGGTCCGGAGAATGGGCTGCTGCTTTTTGCTTCAAGACATGTTCTTCTTCTCGATGCATGGGAGCTTCAAGAAGTATGGTATAGTGGAGTAAAAGGATGGGTAATACTTTTTTGTGAAGTAGAACTGTAGCGGCAGAGAAAAAAAATGCCTCGGAAGGCCGTAATTCGGACGTCATATTCAACGCCGAAATCGAAGCCGACGTCAGCTATTAAAAAAAAAGACAAAGCCGGAGCCGAGGTCAACCGTTTCAAATGGCACGAAGCCGAAAGCGATGTTGAACCAGCCGTGAAGATTGACTCACAGCGAAGCCAAACACGAAGCCATTTCAGGAAAACTGGGGCTTCGTGGGGCCGAAACCGAAGCTGACAACGGCCCCGTCCCTTTGCCTTAACCGAGCATCCATTTCTTGAAAGTTACGGTGCGCAGCTGATCGAAAGCAGCAATAAAAACCATACGTTCTTTGTTTTTACTAGTGATCTTCTGTAACAGCTAAATAGCCTAAAAAATGTGGATGACTGTTTCTTACATTGTACCTGTAATTTCAATGTCGACCGTCGGCACCAAAGTAGAACTAATAAGGGTGCTGGGTAATTCGATGTCACGACAGTCTTGCAGGACCGACTGCGGGAGCCCACACTAAACGCTGCACACCTGAAGCAGAGCTGGCATTACGCAATATGGTAATCACTTTGATATAGACTGATAAGTAAAGTGTGTTTATGTTGTGGTGTCCTCACTGATTCGATAAAATGCGGCAACAAGAATATAAGCAAAATCTTAGTTGTCTGTGTAGAGTTGGTGACCCTTTGATTGAAATTCCGAAGAGGATCGCACCGGTCGAAATTACTGGATACGTCCCTGTAGTCATGACAAACAAGCAGTGTTAAAAAAACAGTCTTTGTGTGATGGCCAACGTTTGGGAGGTAGAGAACTCAGCATTGGAGGGGGAGCGGGCAGCACCTTCTCAAAATAATACTAATCGACACCAGTATCACGGTGGCCATCCAATGTCTACTTCAAGGTTAACCTTAATTTGCCAACAGCATACACATACGGAAAATCCTGGTCTCTTTACCGTTACTGCCCTGATTTATAACGGTCGACTTGTTACATGACTGCTATAGCTGCTACTTGCAGCATCGACGACGTCATCTTATGCGCTCCGTACACCGAGAAAGAGCACGTGTACTGGATAGCCCGGCCTTGTCGTTTGACAGGCCTGGTCGGGCCAGTTTTGTTAGAGTAAGACCCGAGGAAGATCCAGGTCCGAGGGATTAGTCTCCGCTATTTCTAGGCAAAGTTTTCCGCCATGAGTCTGTGGCTTATCATTATCCTGTTTTGGTCGTTTAATTATGAGCTTCAAACCAGCACTCAGCCATGCGCATTTGACCATAATGGACACAGTACGTCTACGGCATCATAACTGTGCTAAATTCTGATTGTTTTAGCACCATTTCGCCGTGGTAGGCTGCATATTTTCGAGTATTGCCCAATGTCTCCGGCGATCTGACCGCCGATTATTACTTCATGTAAACGGAGTTACTGCCTCCCAGCCCTGACCCATTGGTCGCCTCTGTTCCGGGCAAAACGGCTTGGGCGTTCCAGGTGTTAATGACGCATTGAGCAGATACGGGCTGCCATCCACCAAACTCTGCATCCGTCTGGGTAGCAAGGCTTGCCAAGATCCGTCCATTCTACGACTGACTTAACAAAACACATGCCAAATTCACATGACCTGGTCAAATTCACTCAGTTGTAGGCCATTACGATAGCAGGATTCTATACTACAGACAACAGGACGCGTAGGATGTTCATGAAATGGACAGCGATGCGTTTTTGTTTCAGGACCTGGGCACTACGCCGTAGCGATGGAAATCCATACCACCTGAAGATCTACACAGAGCGAGATGTTTACAAGCAACGAATACCTCTGGCAAGTCGGGTCGTGCAAGCACATTGTGAAAGTACTGCTGGAACACTCGGAGCGACAACACCATCAGTTCTATTTGAGGCATTTCTTTTTCATACTAGCTCTCTTCGAGAAGGTGGCAGAGAGGAACATCGAGCGGGGAGAACACAGGAGAATATCTGCACGGCGGGGGCGGGAGGGAAGCTGAGGCGCTGTAAGAAAGTGAGGAAAACGGATTGCGGCTCGTACGACTGCCGCTTGATTGGAGCAATGCACGTGTACCGGCGAAATAACAATACCGTTGTCTCTATGGGAAGTACCTGCATGTGACACGAACTGATGCACGAGGTGCGAAGGAAAGTATAAAACGTACCCAAAGAGGTCACAACGCGGCCACATCTTATGCATGTCTACAACCAGGGGATGGACGGCGGGGACCTGGTTGACAGGCTACTGGAGTCATGCCGCCCTATGATCAGGAGTAAAAAGGGCTACCGGCCATTCCTGGTGAACGCCCTGAAGCCACCGGTCGTTGGGCGCTGCGTGATGGCTCAACTGCATGCTTCATGCGACCAAACATGGAGTTTCTGCGAGATGTCTACATCAGGTTGGTTAAAAGTTGATTTTCAGCCCAGCAAAGCAGGTGGGAGGACGCTGAACAAGCCTACGGACATGCGGTAACATGGGGAGGACCATGACGAGGAGATGTACTCACATGGGCGGTGCAGTATGCCGCAAGAAATCCGCCGCGAACGCTTGAAATATGACGCGAAGGAAGTTCACACGTGCTGCCGAGTACCACAGAAACAATGGCAGGCAGGAACAGTGCTAAACCAGCCCTAGCGTTTGTCGCACAAACTGCGGCCGCTTACATGTAGCAGACACTTGGTGTACTGCGTTTACCACGTTGTGCATGTGCATGTGCATGCGTGATTTGAGAGAAATCGATGCCCACGCAGTGAATGGTGGTCAGGCTACCGTGAGACCTTCTGTCGTTCTTTCCGTGGGTGTGTTCGCCAAGCCACGAGTGTCATCCTGTCAATATTGTGCACATTCATCACATACGTCTCCTCGAACATGGCTGCAGCTTTTCAGTTTTGCATTGTCACTGAGGTACCGGAGGCGTTGGAATAACGACAACGGTATGTCCAGGTGCTCGTGCAGTATCACTTAACTTTGTTATATTTAGCACATCAACACTACGCTTTGCAACAACATGCTTTATAGGCCCGGCTGCTCGGCGAAAAAAGAAACAGCAGGTATCATGCACTGATAGTATCAATGCTTGTCTCATATGATAATAGATGTGCATCTCGATAACTACCGCATGTTTTCGAACACATTTGGTGAGCATTGAGTCTGACGATTATTCCAATAATTTGTAAAAACAAGGTTTTCGAAACGTTGCAATCTGGGGTTTACATTTCATGGGATAATGAGTGGGATGTGAATGAAGCTGAACGGGGAGAGAGAGAGAGGGAACTGTCAAAATGCATGCTAAATGTTTGATTTAGTGAAGTCAAGTTTCAGGCCACTGGCAAGCAACACAATCTCTGCTGCATTTAAAAGTGGTGAACTTGGCTGCATGAACTTTATGTTCTATAATGTTAAAATTGCCGCTGGATGGTTGTTCTGAAACAGCTGAACCCGTCGAACAAACGAAAATGTTATGAGCCTGTGTCTCTGATGTCTGCGGTCATCAAGGGGTACACGATGGTAGGCGAGTATCGTGCCTGTGTCTCTGACGTCTGCGGTCATCAAGGGGTACACGTTGGTAGGCGAGTATCGTGCCTGTGTCTCTGATGTCTGCGGTCATCAAGGGGTACACGATGGTAGGCGAGTATCGTGCCTGTGTCTCTGATGTCTGCGGTCATCAAGGGGTACACGATGGCAGGCGAGTATCGTGCCTGTGTCTCTGACGTCTGCGGTCATCAAGGGGTACACGTTGGTAGGTGAGTATCGTGCCTGTGTCTCTGATGTCTGCGGTCATCAAGGGGTACACGTTGGTAGGCGAGTATCGTGCCTGTGTCTCTGATGTCTGCGGTCATCAAGAGGTACACGTTGGTAGGTGAGTATCGTGCCTGTGTCTCTGATGTCTGCGGTCATCAAGGGGTACACGTTGGTAGGTGAGTATCGGTTATTGGTGGTCTACTTGCACCGTATCCATCCAAATCGGAAATGGTGAGGGACATACTCGATAGTTTCAACCACGAGTGCACGTCTGTGAGGGTCCGAGGGTGAAAATGGCCGAACCCTCTGATGCTCAGGTTATCACACAGCCCCCTGAAGTGATGTTCACAACGCGTGTATTTGCCAAGCCATGCATACTGCATCTTCTCATGGTGCCTGTCAGCCCTACGCGGCATCGAACCAGACAGTCGGCGACGCTGGGTACGAGACGTCTATTTGCCATTCGACAGCTCACGAGCGACCAACAACAAACATAGCCGCACGGTGTTCCTTGACAACCCGTTCCGCTCGTGCCAATGCCCACGCGCCTGAGTTCCTGAAACGTCCCGCCCTGGGCCCTGCGGCCGCCGGGTCCCGACCGCCTCGACGGTTCGCAGCCGCTGACGAGCACCGCGCCTAGACGGGCATGCATGTCGGGATTTTGGTCGAAACGCTGACGTACTCTTTCGCGATGATCCGGGGGTTGACCAGGCGGCAGATCTGGCCGGCCGGGCAGTTGAGCAGACACTCGACGCAGACGGCGCGGTCCACCACTACGCGGCAGAAGGTGTCGTCTGCACAGTCGATCGCCTCGCACGACGCCTGACACGTCGGCGTGCCAGAGACCACGGCACACGTCTGGCCGTCCAGGCAGCTGACGCCCTCGCACGAGGCCGTCTTCACGCATATACGCTCACCGGACACCCTCTTGCACTCGAGCCCCTTCGCGCAGTCACCGTTGCGGCACGGCGCGCCCGACAGCGATACGCACTTGGCCAGGTGGTCACGCACCTCACACTTCTGGTCGTAGCGGCACTTGGTGTCGGCGCACGTGGTGGCCGTGATGCACTTGGCCGAGCCGAAGAAGTCGCGACAGACGCGGCCCTGAGCACAGCGCAGTTCCTCACACGTCGGCTTGTCTACGCACAAGTGCTCTTTGTTCACGATGCGACACTCCTGATTACCCGGACAGCGCTTGTCGTAGCAGATGGGCACCACCAAGCAGGTGGGCACGTCTTCCACCTTGATACAGCGCTCGTTGGAGCCGCAGTTGAGGTCCTCACACTGCGGCGTGTCCACGCAGCGCGCCAGCCGGCCAATGACGAGGCACACCTTGCCTCTTTCGCAGGTGACGCCCTCGCACGAGCGTCGGATGATGCAGCGCGGCCGGCTGTTGATAACCTTGCACTCCTGGTCGTAGCGGCAGCGCAAGTCGGCGCATGACCAGCGGCGCACGCAGCGCGGCTTGCCCTTCACCACCGCGCACTGCTTGCCCTCCTCGCATTCGTAGTCGTCGCAGACGCTAGGCGGCGGCGGCGGCAGCTTCCGGCACATGGGCCCGCTGCTCCTCAGCTCGCACCGCTCGCCTTCGGCGCATTCCACGTCGGCGCAGCTCGGCCGCTTGCACATGGCCTCCTCGCCGGGCATCATGCTGCACGTGGTGCGGCGCGGGCAGGTGATGTCGGCGCATGTGCGGGGCTTGTCGCAGTAGGCGCCCTTGCCCATGACGCGACAGTCCTCGTCCGGCGCGCACCTAATGTCGTCGCACATGACGTCGATGGACGGCACACACAGGACCTTTCCCCGGCGTTTGACGCACGTGCTGCCCTCCTCGCACGTCACCCGCCGGCAGCTGGTCTTGGGCCGGCACGTCGGCTCGCCGAAAATGGGCCGGCAGTCCTCGTTGTAGGCACAGGTGGTGGGCGTGCATCTGGCGGCCTTCCCGGCGGGCTTAACGGCGGCCGGTTTCCTCACGCAGCGCGGGCCGTCCCTCGTGAGCTGGCACTGACGGTCTGGCGTGCAGACAGTCTTGGCGCACGTCTTCGGTTTCGTGCAGATCGGCCGATTCAGGATCAGCTCGCACACCTCGTTCCTCCTGCAGACGACGCCCTCGCAGGACGGCTTCTTGGAGCACACAGGCCTGCCGGCCACCGTGGTGCAGTCCTCGTCTGGCAGGCAGGCAAGGTTTTCGCACGTGGTCTTGACGCAGACGGGTTCACCAGCCGATAGTGTACACTGCCGTCCGGCTGGACAACTGATGTCCGCGCACGTTATGGTCACTTGGCGGCACATCGGTTTGTAATTCTTCATCTCGCATTTCTCGCCAGCGGCGCACGTAATGTCTGCACATGTAGGACCAGCTTTGCAAGCTCCATTCTCACACACCTGACCTGGCCGACAGGTGATGTCAGAACAGGTCACTGGGCGGCATATGGGCTTGTAATCCTTAAACTCGCATTTTTCGCCAGCGGTACATGTGATGTCTGCACATGTAGGACCAGCTTTGCAAGCTCCGTTCTCACACACCTGACCTGGCCGACAGGTGATGTCAGCACAGGTCACTGGGCGGCATATGGGCTTGTAATCCTTCACCTCACATTTCTCACCAGCGGCACATGTGATGTCTGCACATGTAGGACCAGCTTTGCAAGCTCCGTTCTCACACACCTGACCTGGTCGACAGGTGATGTCAGCACAGGTCACTGGGCGGCATATGGGCTTGTAATCCTTCACCTCACATTTCTCACCAGCGGCACATGTGATGTCTGCACATGTAGGACCAGCTTTGCAAGCTCCGTTCTCACACACCTGACCTGGTCGACAGGTGATGTCAGCACAGGTCACTGGGCGGCATATGGGCTTGTAATCCTTCATCTCGCATTTCTCGCCAGCGGCGCACGTAATGTCTGCACATGTAGGACCAGCTTTGCAGGCTCCGTTCTCACACACCTGACCTGGCCGACAGGTGATGTCAGCACAGGTCACTGGGCGGCATATGGGCTTGTAATCCCTCACCTCACATTTCTCACCAGCGGTACATGTGATGTCTGCACATGTAGGACCAGCTTTGCAAGCTCCGTTCTCACACACCTGACCTGGTCGACAGTTGATGTCAGCACAGGTCACTGGGCGGCATATGGGCTTGTAATCCTTCATCTCGCATTTCTCGCCAGCGGCGCACGTAATGTCTGCACATGTAGGACCAGCTTTGCAAGCTCCATTCTCACACACCTGGCCTGGCCGACAGGTGATGTCAGCACAGGTCACTGGGCGGCATATGGGCTTGTAATCCTTCACCTCACATTTCTCACCAGCGGCACACTGTGATGTCTGCGAATGTAGGACCAGCTTTGGCAAGCTCCGTTCTCACACCTGACCTGGCCGACAGGTGATGTCAGCAACAGGTCACTGGGCGGCAATATGGGCTTGTAATTCTCAATCTCGCATTTCTCGCCAGCGGTACATGTGATGTCTGAGCATGTAGGACCAGCTTTGCAAGCTCCGTTCTCACACACCTGACCTGGTCGACAGGTGATGTCAGCACAGGTCACTGGGCGGCATATGGGCTTGTAATCCTTCATCTCACATTTCTCGCCAGCGGCGCATGTGATGTCTGCACATGTAGGACCAGCCTTACAGGCTCCATTCTCACACACCTGACCTGGTCGACAGGTGATGTCAGCACAGGTTCACTGGGCGGCATATGGGCTTGTAATCCTTCATCTCACACCTTTCACCAGCAGCGCAGGTGATATCAGAGCAAGACTGCGCAGTCGGTCGTGACACCTCCTGAGTGCTGGACGTCTTCCCGACTGCGGAGCTCACCTCGTTGACTGAACCGACCGAGGCAGTGACAGAAGCGGCAGCCGAGCCCGTCTGGACGCCTCCAACAGCTGCGAGCGTGGCCTGAGACACGTCCACCTTCGGTGCAGCCTCGACAGCGGGCAGAGCAGTAGCTGGCGGGGCGGCGCCCTCGCCCGGGCCCGCCGCCGCCCCGCAGACGTACAGGCTGCGGCAGGGCGGCAGGTATCCGTCCAGCGAGTGCTCACACCCGGGCTGCGTGATGCACGCCTGGCCCGGCGGGCAGCTCAGCTGGTCGCAGGAGGTAGTCAGTTCGCAGCCGGGCCGCTGCAGCGGCGGCCGGAACTCGGCCGCTTCCGGCGACGGGTCCGGCTCCAGTCGACAGTGGTGGCCGCGCGGACAGGCGTGCCCGACGCACGTGGCGGCCGGGACGCACTGCGGCTCGTCATGGCACGGGGGCAGGTACGCCTGGATGTCGGTCTCGCTGCAGACGTGGCGCAGTCGACACTCCTCGCCGGCGCCGCACGCCACGTCAGCGCAGGCTGCAAGTGGAACACCGGTGTCAGGCGCGCTGCTCATAAGCTGTTCATTGACACGAGGGACCGCTAACGCCACCAGCGTCGCTGTCACCGAGTTGGAGGCTGCGGCCATTGGGAGTGGATTGGCCGGTGGGTAACTGGCGCTATATATGAACTCACACGTACACATATATATATATATATATATATATATATATATATGCTGGCAGGCATGCTGGCAGGCTGGCAGGCATGGTGGCAGGCATGCTGGCAGGCTGGCACATATATATATATATATATATATATATATATATATATATATATATATATATATATATATATATATAGATGGATGCACACATACATACACAAGTACATTGCACTCTGGTCTTTCGCTTTTTGGACCACAAGATTGGATAAAGTATCCATCGAAAGACGACCAAACACTTAAATACAGCCCTAGATGATCTCTGAAGTGAGCGATGAATGTTGTTCTACAGTTCCAGCTTTATCACTGATCCCATAAGTTGACGTTTCTGTAATGTTCCGTACAACTAACGGGGCATGACAATTTATCGCAATGTAAAACGCTTTTTAGGCCTCTGACCTTTTGACCAGACGACCTCAAAAATTGGTTTAACCAATTTTGCACCTGCTGGAGTTTTCTTTAATCAAATCTTTTATCTTAAATCTAATCAGTTTTTAATCTAACTGCGTAAGTGTTTTTCTAGTCTGATGGTAAACGCATTTTGGGGCAAGAAAGAACATTTTGCGAGATGGGGTATTGTATGTCTCTTTTCAATATGTTTTTTTTTGTGCCACATGCGCTGGCGTCGCGACAAGGAGCCACCATGGCAATTGGAAGGGAGGGAATGATGATTCGCTTGAAGGACTGATAAATCGATCAGCTAAGTTATCGTAACATACAAGTGGTTGCCGTCCTTAAAGGCACTCATTACGGTGCTCGTTTTAGAACCCATTACCAAAGTTGCCCAGGATGCCTCTGGACTAAATGGCGCTTGTTTTCACATCTGGATAGCATGAGCACGTTAAATCTTATTCTAGTAACTGCAACGTATGGGCTGGCCAGGTCGGGTCAGCAGCCACATCTGGCACCTATGCTGATTTGCAATGCGGTGCAAATAAGCATCATTATTTCAACTAACTAAAACCGGATGTGGGCGCCCCTGGTATTGTTACATGGCCATGGCATCAAGGGTACTTGATGCCATGACCAGGACATTTTGAATCAGAACTATCCTGGGCGTTGTTTTCCGGCGATGCTGATGACTATGAAATCGCGTAGTGCCCGGAAATCCCCATCCTCCACAAGCTTGCCGCGGAATTTACAGCCCCGTTAGGTACTGGCCGGGTATCAAGACTGAGCCTAGGATCGGTCGGCGACTTGCCATCTACCCATTACGGTGGGTAGATCACTACCCATTACGGTGGGTAGGCCGAGAGAAAGCAGATCTTTATAAATGCAGTCAAACTATGCACATCATGCGTGCACTCTTGCAGGCCTGCATGATGCTAAACCAAATATAAATATCCATCAGTTTGCTTTCTTTCACTACGCTGCTGGGTTGAAGGGTTTCTTTGGTAGTCCAGTAACGAAATCACATATTTGACCACATTAATCGAGATAATATCATTCACAAGCACGCGAAGAACAGTGAATGCTAATTGGAGTCAAAGCAAGATGTTGATGAAAAATGAATTTATCTGGATTGGAATGCAAAAGGTAGAATAACGTCATCCAACCATCCAGCCCATGATTTCATAAATCGATTGTTAATCAATGCACAATCATCAAAACATATTGCACTCTAATTCTTCAATGCTGTTCCTCATTTCCACCCTTCCCTAGCCGTAGAATACTAGCTGTTGCACGTCATGAGAGCAGGGCCGCCCAAGCGATCCCCATATCTGGCCATCGGACCGTGATGCGGGCCGCATGAACGGATTACACGATGGCGGCGGAGATGCCTCAGACATTCTCCACGGAGCGATCACGGGCTCTGCTGCTGAACTTCAGTTGAGCCGAAGTGTTGGTGGAATGAGATACATATGTAGGCAAGCCATGATCAAGGCTGTCTTGAGCCATCAAGGTCAGTTCCCAGGTTATAAACGTAGCGAAGCTGGTCGCCGCATCGCGCCATGATCGGTGGAATTTTCCGGTACTGGCCAAAGCTTAGTGCCCTATATTTCGGCCCACCATTTGCCCATTAAGATGAAGCATGGCCAGCATGGGCGCATGCCTATGCTGACCATCATGATCAGTAAAGAACTTCGTGATCTGCGACGTTCTCGAATTCGGGTGGTCTTTACATTATATTCTGCTCACGCATCATTGCATTCGTTTTTGTACAACATTAAAAGGCCTCAACAAAGTTGAAAGGGTGCGATGCTCTCAGTCCGACCAGACTGAATTTCTGACAGAATCGGACAGAACCCGTCAAAACGTAGGAGACTGCCGAGGATTCAGCAAACGTTCTGGACGCGGCCGGGTTCTGTCAGCAACTCCCCGAGTACACTCTGCCGGACGCGACACGCGTTACGCAAAAGGTTTTAATGTGGGCAACGTAACAAAGTAGTACTCGCCGAATGAATATATATATATATATATATATATATATATATATAGATGTGTGTGTGTATATGTATATATACATATGTTTGATTAAAAATCACTGCTGACTCAGTATTGACTAACGCTGACTTCAAACGAGTGCGACTACTTGACTACGCCAAAATACCTTGCCCTGCACTGTACATATATATATATATATATATATATATATATATATATATATATATATATCTATCTATCTATCTATCTATCTATCTATCTATCTATCTATCTATCTATCTATCTATCTATCTATCTATCTATCTATCTATCTATCTATCTATCTATCTATAATGTTAAAAGCATGTAGTTGGCTTTGATACTATTTTGATCCATATTTGAGTGTTCCTAGCAACTCTGCAAAACCGGTCCATGGAATGCTTCCCATGAGATAAACCGGTTTTGAACAATAACGTTGCAAAAGTGATAGACGAGCTCTGTAAAGATTACAGACTTGGATTACTGAACTGCACTGATATTCTGACCATGTCGGCCTCGGTGTGTTCTTAATCAGCGTCCATGTCAAAGATTATGGCCAGCGTAGGACTCAGCGCTTTATGAGCCCGAATATCCTGTTGGGTCGACACGTGGCGTTGTGAACTGTCACTGCGTGCGAGCACCTCTCCACGTCGCACTTAACCATGAGTCACGCCCTACATGAGGCAAGCGGAAACCGTCAAACCTGACAGATCTTTGCCAGAACTGAGGCAAGTTCTGTCAACGAAATCCTTTTGTTTGAATTCGTCATTTCGATGATGTGGACAGCCATGGACGAAGTACGGAATACCTTGATGACTTGCGAGGCGCTGCTTGCGATCAAAGTGGCCCAAACGACGCAAATAAGCGCAATATCCGCGAACATTGTTCAGACTTTACGGAACAATTTTTGATGATCGAATTCGTGTGTTTTGAGCAGTAAATGTATGCTCCCATTGATGTCATGACCTTCTGTCTATTCGTAAGGGGCACCTGCGATGCAAAGAGCACGGCGCGGGAGAACAGCAAGGCAGTTATCGCTTGGCCCGATCAAATCCAAGGGTATTCGCAAATCTGTGCAATGTTGCATCACATATTGGACTGGAGAGACAATGGACTTCTAGTACCGTTAAATAGTAGCACGTGGTGATTCCGAAGGAGGCGATCCATGCCATTATCAGCGTGCAAGACGAGGTATTTGACATACGTGTTAATCTAAAAACAGGGACCCTTCTGGCTCTAATTTGACATCCGCATGTATCTAGGGAACGTCACCATTTGTTTGGGCCTGGCAGGCAGAAATGCACTTTTTGCGCGGCCAAGCTCCTGCGCCTAAAGCAGCAGCATGTCGTGAAATGTTCACGGGTTAAATTTAGTGAAAGCTCATTAGCAGAGAAAACCATAGTTTGTCCACATCCAGTTGTTCCGTTACCTTGCCACTGCCACAGCAAAGTGTTACCTGCTACAAAGCGTTACAAAGCGCTAACTTTTCGAAACATTGTGCTGAACACACCGTAGCCAGGGAGAGAATGGATTTCAGCTAGCGCAACCAGTCCCATAACCAGGAGAGGATTAAAAATGTCCCAAACGTGCAATGTAATTGCTGGACGCCGCCTTGGGAGGTGGTGATCTCGGTGATCGGTAAGGTGCTAACTCTCTAGCTCTCTAACTCTCTCGTCGCCTTGAGAGGTGGTCATCGCAGTGATTGGGCCATCGTTGTCGCGGCCCCGAGCGACAGACGTCCCGATTCAGAAGGCCGGGCGATAACTGGTCTGCAGCCGCGAAACCACGTGGACGAGCGCTCGCTCGGTTTTCACGTGCCTCAACCACAGTCTGGTGCGGCTCTCCGGAGTCCGGAGTCCGTATCCTTCAGGGCCAGAATTAATTAAACTCAACGGATGGTGTGGCACCCATCAATCGATCTTGGTCGGCCTCTGCAGCCAAATGTTCAATTTGAAATCCTATCCTACATAGTCCACCTGCGAGCGTGTTTGCTGAGTTCATGTCAGCCGCAAAACCGACTACGTCCGTTTGTTGTTGTTAGCGTGTTATGAACGGCTTTCCTATCTTGATTCGATGTTCGTCATCATACCGCCCAATGATGCGATCTATATAAAATGCAAATAAGCAAGGTCATTCAAAGTTGACCATCGTACTTACAGGGCTCCAGCTCAACGTAAAATTGACGGGACGGGGGGGGGGGGCAGATACATGTTCTTACCTATCTCGGAATAGGTAGACTAATTAAACGGCGTTAGATTAGAAACCTTTTTCGGGTCGGGACAAAGTTTTTTATATGTTTTGTTGAAGTTTCGGTCAAGGTCAAGGTCACATTAGGGTACCTAAAAATAATCACACAAAAATGCACAGAAGCGACTGATAAATGGCTTAAATTATTTTAGTCTGACAGCGATTGTATGATTTGCTAATGCATTAAAAACAGAACATATACACCACTTGTGTAGGACCTGGGTCAACAAATCGCTCAGCCGACGGCATTTCAGGGTCAAACTAAGTCAGGGTTGTGATGACACTATTGGCAAAACATAATATCAGAGAGAGAGGAGAGAGAGAGCGAGAGAGAGCGAGAAGAGAGAGAGAGAGAGGAGAGAGGAGAGAGAGGAGGAGAGAGAGGAGAGAGAGAGAGAGAGAGAGAGAGAGAGAGAGAGAGAGAGAGAGAGAGAGAGAGAGAGAGAGAGATGAGAGAGAAGAGAGAGAGAGAGAGAGAGAGAGAGAGGAGAGAGAGAGAGAGAGAGAGAGAGGGAGAGAGAGAGAGGGAGAGAGAGAGGGAGAGAGATGTATGTATATATATATACGTGTATATGTACATATATATATATATATATATATATATATATATAATTAGATGATTGGGTCTTTTGTGAAGGCAGAGCGCGGCCAATTTTGTCGAAAGAACACCAGAATTATATAGATTTTGAGGTAACTATCACTCCAAACAGTTCTATGACAACCTTTTTGGTAAATATGCCCCCCACTGGTGAATAAATGATGCTATGAAGTATCAAAGCCGACAGAATAGCGCCTTACAACTCGAGGAAATGCTACCAACATTGAAGCAAACGTCGACTCAGGTCAGTAGCGTATTCGTTTGGCATTCACATGGAATTCCAACGACATCTAGAAATCAGGTGAGGAGAGCCTTGTGTAAGAAACATAAGCATACAAAGGCGCAGCCACACAAGCTCATTTCGAATGAGTGGCTTATTTCACCACGCCTTGATCTGCCACGCCTTGATTCACCACGCCTTGATTGTTTTAGGTGGGACCTGCTAAGGCCACTGATCTGACAAAACCATGCGCCAAAAATTTCAGGGTACTTTCGATAGTTGCATGAAATTGGGTACTAAAGGTAGCCGAAGGCTAACTGGAGTCGTCCTGCACCTATATTCTGAAAGATGTTGAGGGGGCTACCACCCCCTCCGATAGCGCGAGGGTAAACCAATCGTATCCGGAACCTTTTGTAGTTTGCTATTGGGGGACGCATTTTAGTTGCGTAATCACTACAAGAAGCTGATGACGTCGAGTGCCAACAGCTAGATGTTTCGGCAATTCAGCTCTGTTTTTGAAACCCCCATCCTCGTCATAAGCCTGAAGATAACCTGCGTTTTAGGCCAATTTATCTCATTGCAAGCAGTGGCGCATTTAATTCAGACCGTAGTGGCACCATCCCTTTTACAAGCGTTTCAACTCTTCCGCAAAACTTGACATTTGAGCGGGGATCCGGTCCGAGCTGTAGCCCGGACCCGCGATGTCGTCTTCCTCCTGAGTCTCGCGGGCCCATCTGGTGCGCCCAATGAACTCTCCCGGGGGCTTCTCTGCGGCACTCCGCCGGGACCGCTAGGTGACGCCCCCGCGCTGTTTTGGTGACGCTTCCCGACTCGGAGACGACCGCTCGGTCCTACCCTACGGACGGTGACGATACTCGCCGGGCTTAGCGGGGTCTGTGTGCACTCACCGGACCCTGCCGCGTGGCCCTGGCCGAGCCGGGCGACCAGAAGCAGACCCGTCAGCAGAAGACACCTCATGGCGGCGGGCGAGCGGCGATTGCACCTCTCTAGGCGGCCCGTCACATTTATAACGGCGCGCCGAGAGAAAAAACCGGCCGCCCCCGCCACCGGTCGGGGCCCCCTCCCCCGCCCGCTCGCCACGAACGGTCTGCAGGTCTCCGTAAGCACCTCCTCACGGCGTCTCGGCGAGTCACGTGACCACGTAAGCGCCCGCTCACGCCAGCGCCGCCGGTCACGTGGCGGCTAATCCCGGTGTCAACGGTGCCGGATCTGCGGAGGCGGAGGCGCCCGGGCCGCGCTGACGTTTCTGGATCAGGCGGCCGCGGCGCCTGGGCGTCCGTGGTCAGCGACGATGCCGACGCCTGAGGCCCCAGCACGAACGCCTGCGTGACCGCCGCTGCCGCCGGCGGAGGTCGGCGTTGCGTCCGGGGCTCGGGGCGCCGCTCTTGGTCCGGTGTCGCGGTCGCAGGTCACGGCAGAACCACGCCGGCACGGCGGCTGCGGTCGCTGGGCCGTGGGAAGAAGGGCTCCTGCCGGATGGTAGGGGCTCAGTACCCACGCCGGAGCTGACCTGACCGGACATAAAGGCAAGAGCCAAGCCGTCAAGTGGCAAGAAGTGAAATTTGAAGAAGTAAATGGCGAAACTGGAACCGGATTGAACGCGCATGGATCAAGAAAGGGCAAACAATAGAAAGCAAAAGAAGACTGACCGTTTGAAAAAGTGAAGCAAAAAGGGAAGAAGCATACCATTAGTATGCAAAAAAATATGGAAGGCCTCAAATGGATAAAAGTAAAAGAAGCCAATAAGTTAAAGGGACACCGAAGAGACAAATCTGGAATCAGGGACGAAGGATACCTTGGGACACTCCGCACGCTCAGCGCAACCACGTATTCTGTCTGTCCCATTTACTTCCGGGCTGGGCCTCTCCAAGCGCCTAGATGCTCAATACCGGCTAACAACCGAAATCACTCGCAAAAAGGACCCTGCTTCTTTACACTCCTGAAGCATGTGCGATAAAACCGACTTTCCAACAAGCTAATAATTGAAATGTTAGCAGCAGCGGGACCCAGACCACGAGACCGCTTTGCCAAACGCGAGCTATGCGTCTTTCATGTTCGGTAGATACGGTAATTATACTTTTGAGGAGGAATGAGCTGCTAAGCGGGGTACACTCGTGGCTTTGTGGAGTGGTTCTGGTGTTAAGACAATGCTGTTTTGGGGTCGAGAGTTCAGAGCAGGTAAGTTAAAAGACCTCTCCGAAACCGCGCCAAGGTACCTTCCGATCCATATTCGGTACCCCCTCCCCCGAGTCTGGCGCAGTCAGAGTCCGTTAATTAGCTAGCCCCTTTGACTAAAGGAGCGGGGCGGAGCTTAAAACCAAATTTTGTCTCCCCCTCCTGGAGGAGTATTTTGATCAGCGTTCCTCGGTGTGTTCTGAGACCCTATGAAAGCCAAGGTTTCAAGCCAGGCCACGTATGTTGTGTCTAGCAGCCCGTTTCGTGTCTATTCATTTGGATTTACCTCTCGTTTGCGCTTCAACTTCATCCTTTGAGCTTGGGCTTGGAGCTTTGTCCTGAAACCAACGATCCTGGTAGCGCGGTTCGCGGTCCTGGTAAAGCGTCTCCGCGGTCCTGGTAAAGCGTCTCCGCGGTCCTGGTGAAGCGTCTCCGCGGTCCTGGTGAAGCGTCTCCAAGAGATGCTTGCGGCATTTGGTGCCCTGGCGCTGTCAGTCCTTAAAACGTGCCCGGGTGGCAGGCTGAATACTCTTCGCTCGGGTAGGGGTCTGTTTGATCCACCGAGATCTCAAAAACTGAGATGGGTAGAGATGCTAAATTCACAGGGTGGGTTGATCTGTTTGTGAACTCACCTGTGTCAAATTTGAGAGTTCCTAGGTAATGATCTTAAAGTCAAATAAGGCCAAACAAGTTCAAACTCCATATTGGTGTCTCAAGTGCCCCAGATATTTTCATGCAACTGCCATGAAGCTAAATATCTGTTCTAAACGAGACTGATGAAGTCTTTGATATTATTTGATCTTTACAAGGTACAGGTAACCACATATCTACGAGATTGCTCTTGCATTGCCATTCAAGTAAGCGTCAGAGATTACGCTAGGCGGTATTTTCCAAAAACAAAAAACAAAACAAAACGTTTGCCTGGATCATTCAAGGTCAGTAACCTCCTCTGACCTTTAAAAAATGCATGAAGCATGTCTGTTGCGGTTCCTGTCCCAATAGGTTCGAAATAGGCGCCCGAAACTACCTTAAAAAACCGAGCTCTTGAATAAAAGGCGATTTAGTTTTGACTTTATTCTGACCTTCATACCTGAGCCTAGGTCTATGGAACTGATTGTGTTTCTTAATTAAGTATATCACATAAGAAACTGTCTCATATGAGTATGGCTTCGTCCAGCATTCCGTTGGGGCATCAGATTGAACGATTCTCTAGAAATGCCCTTCGCTGACAGACATAGCCTGACTTTGGCCTGCTATAGGTCAGCGACGTTTCAGGATATATCTAGTTTGTTTCGATCAAACGATCTGCTACTTAATTGTCTACAGCTAGACAAAGTTTAGCTTGGCTAAGCTGCACCGTTCGGAAATCATTGTGGGAAAACCTTCGGGGAGGGGGGGGGGGCAGTTTGACCCCCACCCGAGCTTGTGTGATACGCGCCGGGTGGCCGGTTGGATACCCTTTGCTCGGGTGGGGTTTTAATTGACCCTCGAGATCTCAGGAACTCAGAGAGCTAGAAACACTAAATCCATAGAGTATATTAATCTGTACATGAACTCACTTTGGTCAAACATTGAGGTTTGTAAGTCATGATCTTCGGGTCACATAAGGTCAAACAATATCAAATTCCAGGGTGGTCACCAAAGGGCCCCTGGAACCTAGATAACTATTCTAAGGAAAAGGCCACATGCTAATTTAAGGTCAGCAATCTTGTTTGACCTGTTGAAGGTCATGTTGACCAAAAGCATACTAGACTGCTCTGACTTTTACAATTGAATAACCGCCCAATATAAGCTAGGCAGTATGCTTCTAAAAACGAAATGTCGACCTCAGTCATTTTATTTCGGTGACCTATTCTGACCTTTAAAAAGTCCATGAAAGATGTATGATGCGGCTCCTGTTATCAACAAATTCGAAATGAGCACCAGAAACTATCTGATGCAGCAGGCCCTAAGGTAATAAAACAGATTGATTTTAACCTTGATCTGACCTTTATACCTTACCGTAAATCAATTGAATTTATTCATTAAATCGTTGTGTTGCCTAAGAAAATACCTCAGAGATGTATGGCTTCGTTGAACACTCCGTTGTTGGATCAAATTGAACGATTCCCTAGAAATTGCCTTTGCTGAAAACATGGCCAAACTTTGACCTGTCATAGGTCAGCGACCTTACAAGGTACATCTAAATTGTTGATACCAGACGATCTGCTATTCAATGATCTACAGCTATGCAATATTTGGCGCGGCTACGCCGCGCCGTTCGGAATCATTCTGGAAAAACCTTCCGGGGGGGGGGGGGGGGAGGGGCAATTTGAGTCCCACCCGAGCGCGTATTAACAAATGTACAAGCTGAAGGGGTGCGAGCTGGCTTTGATGGAAGCAAGCCATGGGTGAAAAAAATTTATGGTAGGCGACCGAGACAGGGTGCGAAGGATATAGAAAAAGCATCCAGATAAGACTTCTACAGAAAAGTAAACCGTTTCTCGCTGCCCAACCACAAGAGACTTACTGGAAGGGGCATTCGCACTTAATATTGCGTGACGAAGATATCCGGAGACAGAGCCGCAACGCACGGGAAGACATTTCTGGCGCACCTCTACCCTTAGAGCCGGTACCAGACGTGCATCATCGTTACTCAGACTTTGAGCTCATGAGATTGCATCGCTCCGCAGCAGGCAGCCCATTGATGAATTCTGGTTCGCGATGACCTTAATGCTGAAAGCCAAATTGCATGCAAGTCTGATTCCGGTAGCGAGCTTTGCCATTATCAGCTCGCACAGCACAGTATCGCTGAGCCCGCTAAAGCACAAGGCAAGGACATCGCTATTTCTACCAAGAAATGGAAGCTTTTCGGCAATTAATCGCGGCCTGGTAATTGCCGTCCTTGTTGGCAGGTAGTTACAAGCACTCAGGCACAGCTATAGATCAAAACTCAATGAAAAGGCCATGGAATCTTGTTTCGCAAATCTGTTATGGAATATGACAATGTAAGATGCTCGCACCTAGCATGCCCGATAGGGTCCCATTTTGCCGATTAGCAACGGCTGGGCAGGCGCACAGGAGCTCCTGCTCGCATCGAAAAGTGTGTTTTTCGAAGTGTGTTTTTTAACGTTTGAAAGCGAACTACCATCGTGTCAAAAATGTACGGATAGCGCAATTTAGCCTGCACCTTTTGCCGCTGGATGAATGTGGTTAAGTCTCTTTGCTTGAGACAGTGTGCCGGCATTTTATGATAATTATGCTCTCGCAGCGATCAAAATGCACGGAATGCACCGATTTCAAGCTCCGTGATCGTGAAGCATGCTATCCAGCGTTGTGTTCTGAAGGGCGCCGAACTTCTTTCAAAAATGTTATGTGTAGAATTGGAGCCTTGTATGGCGTCCATGGAGTATGGCATCCAAGCTCATATGAGTATGGCTATGGCGCGACCACTTTTGGAACAGGCAGCACTGGCTGCTTCACGGTCGGTCTGGGGCACATATGTGTTAAAATGCGTTGAAATCGCCTGGTGCTTTGTATCTTACACAAACGCCTATGTCGTGCAGTTGGTTTAAAATTTTCATTTGCTTCCGTTGCCGAGATCTGACATCAGTTCTTTGAAAACACCTCAGGCCAGGAGGATCCATAGCTTGCGCTCGGCCGTGCGTAGCATCCATCCACATTTTTCGTCATTACGGTCGCCTGTTCTCACCACCGTCAAAATGTGTTGATCTCATGTCGCTGCAATGCCGGTTCAGTGAAATCTCAGTCGAGTATCTGCCCGCTTCGTGCAAATATTTCAACCAGATAAGCCACCTTGTGTGGGGGTGGTGCAAGCGAAGTCATT